CCCCTCGCCCCCTCTGAACCCGCGGGGAACTGAGGCAAGGAGGGTTGGGGCCTGCACCACTGATACCTGGCACTCCTGCCCTCTCCCTGCTGGGAGCCCCTAAGCGGCTGTATCACCCTCTCTGGGTCCCACTTTACCCTTTTGCACCATGACCAGAGAGGAGGAATGGCTGAGTGGGACCCTAATTCCTTTGGGACACCAATGAGGCCCCCCTCCTCTGCCACTTAGAGGTGCCTCCCAGTCTAGGTCCCCTTCTGGGAACTCCTACAGCTGCGTGGTAAACAAGGGAACTAGGGCGGGCTCCTCAAAGGAGGGGGCCGTTGGTGCTGGGGCTTTGGTGGATGCGTAGGAGTTTGTCAACCCAAAAGGGATTAGTGTTCTTGCCAGAAGAAAAAGCGCAAATACCTGGAGGGGCAGCGGTTGAAAGCCGGTAGCAATCAATTAGATACTTTGGGGAAGAGGGGATGAGAAGGGTCCTTCAATTCTGGGCTGAGGGATGATGGGAAATTGGGGGGGGGGTTGGTGAACAGCAGAGAGTTTAAGTCAGGAGATGCCTTGGGGTAGGTCTGAGGCTGCCAAGGGAGCCAGGTCAGGCATTCAGTAGGTGCTACCTGCTTGTACAGATAAATCAATAAATTAATACAGGAATAAATCAATTCACTTCTTCAGTAACTCATTCATTCACACACCTATTCATCAAAAGCTCCCTGGTATGGCCTCTGCATGGCAATACTGGCTCCCAGGAGACCTTGGCTCTGGCCTGCTCATCCCTGGGAAGACAGAGCCAGGTACAGACACCTCCCACCTGATGTGAGCAGGCAGAGGACAGAAAGAGGGATCTGGTATGGAGGAACCTGGGGAGGGAGTGGATGCTCCACAGGAGGGGTCAAGAAAAGCTACATGTGAGAGGGGATGTGTGAGGTGGGGTTTTGAAGCATGAGTAGGAGTTTGACACATTTGACAAGTGGCTGGTTGGGCTCTATGAGGGCTTAGAGATGACTCACCCTGCCCTTCCCTGGGAGCACTCTGCCCTGGCACCCACTCCTGGATGTCTATTTACTCTTTCCCCACCTGTCATTCTTCCATTCCAACACTTTGAGGGCTCCTTTTTTCAGGGTTCAAATCCTAGCCAGGTGGTCTTGGGTGAGTCTCTTCCTTTCTGGATCTGTTTCATCCTGTGTGAAATGGGGCCCAGTGAACAAGTGGAGGGTCAACAGTAAGTGTGGGAATGGTGTGGTGTGTCAGTATCTAGGTGGGGAGCCGTGAGTGCAGGAGCAGCTGCGGGGGGTGGTTTGGGTGGTCCCCTTGCAAGCCCTGCTGAGGCATGGGGATGGGTGGGACCCAGGGCACTGTGGAGAACAGCAGTAGGGCATTGGAAAGGAGGCTCAGTCCAGTTTCCCCCAGCCTCCCGGCTCCAGCCAGCAGTGGTCAGAGGTTGTGGGCAGCACGTCCATGGACCTCTGCTGCTCATCCAGGGGGGCCACCAGCAGGTCTCGGGACACCATCCTGACCTGGGAGCCTTTGCGACAGAGAAGTGGCACATGACACCCGCCAGCGCCCACCCAGGCAGGCACTTGAGGGCAGTGGCTGGCTGATGTCTGGGTGTTGGGAGGGTTGGGAGGACAGGGAGCAGGAAGGACTGCACGGGGGGCTCCACAGGGCTGGACATGAGCTAAACTACAGAAGACGGAGCCCAGATGTTTCCAGACCTTAGAGTCACCTGCCCACCTTCCCACTGGTGAACTGGCCATGCCCCTCAACGCAGCCAAGCCTCAGTGTCCCACTTGTGAAATGGGCTTAGCTTCCAGGTGTTGATAGTCACCAGGAGCCCAGATGTAAGCGCCACGTAAGTGCCGGGTGACTTGAATCTTGACATTCAGACCCATGCTGACCAATGGGACCAAGATGACGGTAATGCCCCACCAGGGACCTTCCTATCGGGAACGGGGCTGCTGCATCCTGGAAGGTGGCTGGCAAGGCCAAGGAAGGGAAGGCTTCCATTTACTTGATTTTAATTAATTCTGATTTAAAATTACAAACCAACACTGGATCCAGATTTTGGCAAGTGTCCAAGTATGTCTGAAACAACTTGGGTGTGTGTGCATTTTCCTTTTCATTGTCCACTGTAGGCAATCCACCTACAGGTAAGTCTCTCTGGGGAAACGTCAGCGTTGGCACTGAGATGTGCCCTGAGTTGGAAAGCCAGATTTCAAAGACTTGGCACAGAAACAGGTGTGGAACACTTTGTACATCATTTTCGCATCAGTGATGTGTTGCAGTGATCAGACTTCCGAGATGTCGAGGTAAGTGAAATATATTATCAAAACAATTCTCTAACATGGCCTAAAATTTTAAATTATGTGCTTGGTTTGTCTTATTTTTCTATTGGCTAGCTCTGTCCTAGACTGTGGGCCAAATTCAGACACTTTTTTTTTTTAACCAGTTTGGCCCCTGAGCTAAGAATGGTTTTTACGTTTTTCAGTGGGTCTAATACTATTCCACAACACATGGAAATCATGTAATATTCAAAGTTCCATGTTTGGATAGTTTTATTGGCACCTGGCCATCCGTGTACAAGTTGAGTGGTCTCTGGGCTGCAAAACTGAAAATATTAGCTCTGTGGCCTTGTATAGAAACTAGTCTAGGAGAGGGGAGGGTGCAGCTCAGTGGCAGAGTGCGCACTTAACGTAGCATGCAGGAGGTCCTGGGCTCAATTCCCCAGCACCTCCGTTAAAAAAATTTTAGTAATAAGCTTTAATAATAAGTAAGTAAACCTAATTACCTCCCCCCACCAAAAAATTAAAATAAACAAAATGACTCCTTAAAAAAAAAAGTGGATACTAATCATAAAAAGAAAAAAAAAGAAAATAGTCTATTGACCCAGGGTCTAGACTCTCGGCCTTCTGGAACTCAAGAGACGCAGATGAGACATTCCAGAATTTTGAAATCCTCGTGTTCCAAAGGCTTGGAATATTAAAATTGGAGAAACTTCCCCCAGGACCTAAGACTTACCGGAACTCTGTGTTTCTGTATAATCTGAAGGCCTGGGCCTGGGCTCCAATCCCCCTGCAGCGCTGAAAGGGCCGGCACAGGCCACAGGGCGAGGTGAGTCAAAAGGTGTCCAAATCTTAGGAATCTGGGCTCCTCTGCGGAAGCCGGCAGGGAGGTCTGGTGTCTCTGCAGCTGCCCTCTGCCCTCGACGCACCTCTTTCTCCAGGACTGACCCCTGGGCCTGCAGGGGCCAAGGGACGGGAGCTCCACGATGCTGGAGGGATGGGGGCCACGGCGGGAGGACCTGGGTGGCAGGAAACCCTGGAGCCTCAGCCTTGGGTTGAGGGCATGGGGTCTGGGGGGCTGGGCACAGGGGCTGCAGGGGCGGGAAGGGCCCTGGGCCCCTTCCCAGCAGCCACCTTCTGGGTAGTCCCTACCGTCCCTGCAGTGTCAGGTCTCTGAGTGGGACCCCAAGGGTCCTGTGGGTCTCAGGATGCAGCAACTACCAAACAGTTAACAGTAAGGACAAAATCTCAAGCCTGTTAACGCAGGTGAGGACCCTCCCTTGCTCACAATCTGCCATGGCTCCCCACTGCCCCTTCAACAGAGGTGCCCTCCAGGCCCCGTGGTCTTCTTGCTTGCTCTGCTCCAGACACGTGGGCCTCCTCCTTGCTCTGCCTCCAAATTACCAGCCTCAGTTCCGCCTCTGGGCCTTTGCCCTGGTGGTGCCCTCTGCCTCCAATTTCCACCTGGCTTGTTCACAGTCTTTCCAGCATTTTCTCCCCACTCCACCGCCACCCACACATGCCAGACAGGTAACATGAACGCCAGAAACCCAACCTGTCTTCTAAGTTCCCAGACAGTTCCCAGAAGGGTGGGCCTGGGGTCTGGTCCTTCTCAGTGTCTTTGGTTTAGAACTGTCCCCTACCACCTTCCTTTCCTTATGACGACGACTTTCACTTGCTCTCCTGGGCCATGTGTCTCCCTTGCGTGAAAGCGAGCTCTAGCCCGAGCTGCCCAGTACAGCAGCTGCTCCACACACAGGCCTATTTCAACATAAATTACATCAGTAAAAATAAGTTTTAAAATTCCACTCCTCAGCTGCACTGGCCACACTTCCAGAGCTCAGGAGCTGCATGCGGCTAACACACTGGACCTCAGTGGACGTATCAGAGACCCACAGCTTCCCCCACGGCAAGGCTGGGTTTACTCTCCAGGTCACGGGGACATCGCCTGCCTTGTCCACTGGGAAAGATGATTTTGTGTTTTCCCTTTGCCACTAATAAGTGACCTAGGGGTGATCCCTAATAATGTTCAGTGCGCATGGATTTAAGCACCTACTGTATGCAAGCCCCATGCAGGGCACTCTCTATGTAGCAGGAAGAGAATGGCTTTGGCCTTTTGGTTGGGATAGGCCCATCCACCTCCAGGGAGTGGGGTTCCCAGGATTATGAACCCCAGCAGGAAGGTCTGGAAGGGTCTCTCCAGGTCACAGCTGAAGTCTCCTCCTTCCCTGACTACCCAGTGCAATGCAGACAGACGCCCTGCTCGGCCCCCAGTGCCACGATCTTTTCCAGAGGCCCTGACTGTGCCCTTCACGGTGGGATGCTCACCATCGGGAACCAGACGAGACATCTACCTCGTGTCTGCCTGTCTCCTGCTGGTCCCTGAGCTCTGTGAGAGCACAGATGGGCCTGAAGTGGCCACACTGTGTTCCCAACACCCGGCACAGGCCCTGGGGCGTTGTCAGCCATTCCCCAAGACCGCCTGCTGCGGTGTCCTTTCCCAGG